TGAGTAGTCGCGAGAACTCTTAAGGGTAGACGCTTTCGTGCGATGATCGAAGTCTTCTGCAGTCTTAAGGAGGATATTGCTTCCCTTGATAAAGAAAGAGAATAAATTTCACCAGACTCAGGGATGGAGTACCAAATATCTGGACTAGGACAGTCTAAAAATAATATCTCACTTTCTTAGATCATCGAGGGACACTGGTACAAAAGGCAGCAGGCGATGGTTCGTGACATTACATGCACCGATAAGAATCCCCCATCGAGCAAACCAGGGACACGATATCTTTCATCCCTTTCATGACACTAATATGAACGGGCATCTCATGTCATGTTCATATAACACCTGTCAGAATGGGATTCCCGATGGTTTTACAGTTACCCGCAGTAAGGGAATGTTGGCGGATTTTCATCAGATGATGACGAATGGTCCCTTGCTGGACCATAATGGTGACCACTGTCAGCTGCTCTATTCATTATACCTTTGCTCCTCATCATTCCAGGATATTGTCGAAAAATTGAAGTCAGTATGCTGGCAATCCCTAAGCCTTTTAAGCATAAGCCGTTTTGACCAGTAGCCATTGATCCTTCAGCAAAGTTCGGCCTAACGGTATCAATAGGCGCGGTAGCGCCTATTACCTTTCTTCAACCCCTTCCCGCCGCAAAATTCAACCTCCTCGTATTCCTCTCTGAGAGCATCAGCAGGAACGAAATTTGGCATACTTCTTCCTCTCTCATCATAGAATCGCTCCAGAAAATTTGGAGCTCCATCTCCACGGGGTTGTGGAGAACACTGAATCTCGTGTTTGGAGGATGTGAATTTCATTTGGTTTTTTTTCTCCCCCCCTCCTCCCCCCTGGGTAGCCACTCCTAGGGGGTTTTCGGAGGAAAGAGACCAACCATAAGAAAGATATTGACTCGTAGATGACGGAAAGTGGCTTTTTTTGCTGTTTTCGATGCTCCATTTCGCCATTAAAAAATGAAATTAGCTGTCATTCAATAAGTGCTGGCTCTGATACCGTCCCCCTGTGTTGCCGGATACTGTGCCGAAATTATGCCAGATTCAAGACTGTTTCAACCTTCGTATTGGCGTCTGGATCTTCTTTTTTTTATGTATGAGACACTTTTGCGCTGAGTTCATGAGTTGAGCTGAGAATGAAGCTGTGGTCAGCAGTTATTGATCGATGTGGTGGGGGATATGCAGATATCTTATCCGGACATCCCTGAATTAACAGGATGGATTGCATACTTCTTGAATGCATTCTCTCCTCAGACCTATTCGAGATGGTTGGAGGAACTCCAGATAGGCCTAACGTTACACGTCCACTCTGAAATGGGTCGTGAACATATGAATAGGCCTGCGATTGGCCTAACGTTACACGTCCTCAACCAGATGTCTCGAAGACCACGATTCACTCTTATAGGTCTAATTGGCGCCGTAAGTCGAGAATTGCATTTCTTTCGAAAAGAAAAAGTTAGGCCTTGGCGTGACCTGAAGGCGGCCTGTTAGTTAGGCCTAGGCCTAGTGTTAGTGAGTCCCGTAGAGAGGCGGGGAGGGGGGGGGAGGTTGAAGTAAGGAAAAGCAATTGAAAATTGGTTTCCACATTACTTCATGAGCCCTTATTTTGGAAGATACGCTACGCCTCAATCCAAGAGACTCTAAATGAGTATTGCCACATTCTAGGGGGAATCAGAACGACCTCTGCCCATTCACAGAAGCCAGAATTTCTCAGTCCAGCGAACACAGAAATAAAAGTTTAAACTGAAAGTAGGCGCTTTCACAGATAAGGATGCACATACGAGTCGTCAGTACTTGAGCGCTAGAGCGGCCTTAATATGCCTTAGCACGCAGCTTGCAGATAAGGTTTGGAAAGCTGAAAAAGCGAGATAAGAAGCAAAGCACTAATTTACTGACTAAATGGTGGCTTCAAAGTCATATACTGGATGAGGTCATATACTGGATGATAAACGCGCTTTTCGTTCTTGTGCTGAAACGGCTGGAATAAAATGAACAATAATTCTAGGACGTTTAATGGATACGTTGGAAAAAAAAAACTTTGCCTAGCTATCTGTTATCTCATAAACTCAGATGAACCTTAAAGAGCACCGCGATTTCTTTGTCTCACCTGGGTATGAATGCTGTCAAATGAAGAATATGAATCGTAGAATAACTCTGGCTCAAACCCTAGTAGTGTTCCAGTATATTTAAGAAGAACATCACAATATCGGCCCACATTTAGACCAATCTTGGTCCAATATGCAATACTACTGCGGAGAGACCATTTCACATTGTTTTCTACACCTTGCAAGCTGAAATGTTTCTCATCATGGAAACATGGTAGTAAACTTAGCTCCGACCACACAGAAACGAACTATCATAGTCTGTCCTCGTTCTAACGCCAAGAGATTCTCAGAAAACCTTTGAGGATGTGATTAAGCTATTAAGCTCGTCCGGTTGCTGGTGACACCCATTATGGCACCCAATGACGAGCAAATAAAAAATATGCTGGAGGGAAGTCAATAGCGCACTTTCCTGTCAGAGAAATGGTGGTATATGGAGAGGGCAGCGCAACCTGCTTAAGGATGTGCTTGCCCGCTCAATCTGGAAATTTCCTAGTGATTGTCAAGGAGCATAGGGACTTACTCCGATCTTACGGACTCATACTCCCTTTCATTCCAATGTCTTTGATGATCACGCAACTATTTCTCATGCCGAGCACCTCATTCGTCGCTTAACTCCTCGCAGTGGGGAAATGAGATTTCCTCCCCGAGGGATATTGTCCTGTGCTTCCCCAGAGCAATCTACGTAACTAGACGCACTGATGTGTAGCCGGACGACGAGTCCTGCACCTCTGCTAATGCTCACGTATCTGATGGATTAATAAATCAAAAGCCCAAGGAGACAGGAAGACGTAAGAACTCATTTCAGAGACAGAGGAATGCCATTTCTCTTTACTGGCTTTCTCATCTGTAAAGACAGACCGTTCCAACGAGCGGAAGTTATGCAGATGATTCATTAATTCCTCGACGTAATATTCGAGATGTAATTTTCGAGACATTCTACGCACCCTCCATTCCCTTTCTTCGATCGATGGGAAGAAAATCCAGTCCAGACTCCTTTCGGAGAACAGGAAGGCGGAAATGTTTCGTCCATCAGGAATAAAGTCCTGGAATACTGTCAGAGGAGTGGCTAGATGTATCATCGGAGATCGATGGTGAATCGAAGTCGACCGAGAAGAGAGGCTTTTGTAGCCCTGAAAAGAGATTATCGGGGCTACTTGGACAAATCCTTTCCTCACAATTGAAAGGATCCCTCTTTTGTCTCCCTTGGGTGTCTGAGGAAATCTTCCTGTCTTCGTTCCTACCACGTAGAAGCTAGATTTATGGTTTACTCTATGCAGAAGAAAGAGACTTTTATTTCGAATGAAGAAATTATTTTTGAATTTCCAAGGAATTATATCTTCTTCATGAAGATATAATTCTTAGGAGATTCCCAAGGTTAAGGATGAGGAGCAGAAAGGAAATGACGCCGATAGAAAGGGAAAATTGGCCACTCGAAGGTAATGACAAGATGTCGAGGAAAGCTGGGAAACTCAATCATGAGGAAATTCCTCATTTCGTTCATCCACCTTGGTTTCCTACTTAACTTGTCCTCGTCGATACCGGTATTGAGAGACTTTCGACGGATTGAAGCCACGAGTAGCACGCAATCGGGATAGTATGACGCACGCTGAGACCCATAATGTCGTCATATCGACCAATTACATGTCTACTGCCACAAATTGTTGTAATGATGAATGGGCACTTGCAATACTGAACCAGTCAAAGCTTGGGAAAACATCTAACTGCGATGAGTATTGAATACGAACACATAGTTGTCTATCAGATCCTTTGAGCCCTGACATAATTGAAAAGGGCGGATTCCTTTTGCACCCTTGGAGCAAAGAATAATGTCCCATTTCTCCCCTATCACCAACCTGCACCAGACAGAACTGTTGGGGCCGATAACGGTAACAAGTATGCTTCAACCCAAACCCATGAGTCGGGAATTGGACCGGGAGCCACGGTCAAAATGCAATACGTGTATTCTCGCAGTTCCGTTCGTGGTATTTTTCTCATTCGTAAATACAGTCAACTCCGCATAATGGAATACCATTGCACGGTCCCGATATACGGTACGGTACAGAATATAGTTTCGGTTATTTGAATACTCCGGATTATAGAATAAAATTCACTGGTCCCGTGAGTATTCCAATAAGCTGAGTCGACTGTGTTACTTTCATCATTACGTTCATTCAACGTTCAGGAACCCCACAACATTTCTGATGGGCAATTGGACTGTCGACACGTGTGCTTTCCACATGTCGAAGGGAAAACGCACGATTTATAGGTTTTCTAGGTCAAATGCGGTAATAAGAAATTAAATGCGACAAGGAAATTCAAATGCTTCGCTGTGCTGCTTGGGGGCGTCAAAATCAACATAAGGAAAGTCAAATGTGTCGCTGTGGTGGATGTCGGATTTCAGGGAAAAGCACATTCGACTGTCAAATGAGACAGATTTACAAGGTATACCGTACCCGCGTTAGGGGGATGCCTTCTCATTGCATTTTCACAACGTGCGGCTTCAGGTACATTTGCATATGGTGCTTCTATGGGAAATCATTATTTGGCCGTTATCGATACGTCAGGGTTAGTCCTAGGAATACGCTACTACCATGCTTCTTCACTACAGTGAAGGTAGCCAGGAAACTGCTGTTAAATGACTATTCATATTTATAATAAAAAATAATTTCATTGAGATTTGGTCAAATTTTACCCCACGATACCAGTTACGCATGAAAAAAGGATACCAGTTAAGGGTTAAGATGAGCCCCAAATCTTGCTCTCAGTTTTTTCCCACGTGAAATCTGGCCTCCCGCCCCAAATGGTTGGTGGTAGCATATTCCTATGGCTAACCCTGACATATCGGTAATCTCCAAATAATATTAACTGTAAAAGGAGCAACATATGTACGTGCGCCTGAAGCCGCACGTTGTGAAAAAGCAACGAGAGGGCAATTTCCCCAAAGACGGGTATGGTATACCTTGTGTATCTGTCGCATTTGACCTTCCTTATGTGGAACATGCTTTTCCCTAAAATCCGACATCCACTACAGCAAAACATTGGACTTTCCTTATGTCGATTATGACGCTCCCAAGCAGTATTTCACTTTCTTATTACCCCATTTGACCTAGAAAACCTAAAAGTATACATGAGATAGCAGGTACACGACGAGACGAAATAAACGGAAGCAATATTGGAGCCCTCCAAACCTGAGTTGAATGCGCTCTCGTTTTTCACCATTAAATTTGCCTTTGAGTTTCTTCTTGCTTTCTAGCATCAGTCGAATTAAACCTGGCTTAATCGTGTAACTGATACACGATTGTTGCACGAAGGATACACAGCACGATTGCATAGATTGCAATGATCATTAAACTGCCGGAGACCCACGGCCTTTAAGCCACTTTTTTGTGATGTGCAGCGCATGTTTAAGAAGACCTACTAGTAAATAATTTAAATCGATGGAATTCAGGGGAAAAGAGTGAAGTGTGGAGGAAGAGCATCAGACAAGGAGACATAAAATGGTTTCACCTCGAGAAGAATGAGATCAGGAGTGACAGCCATTTGCGTCCCAATTTTTCCCTTTCTCTGCAGACCCCTTGATACTTTGTTCAATTCCCCTAGGGAGGAAACAATGCCAGATGAACCTTTGGAGTTCCAGGACATTCTCCCTGATCCGAGGACATATGACAAGATGCATCCACCCAAGTATGGAGGTCAGTTCACTTCGGCACGAAAAGTTTCATGGTTTCCATTTCAATTCTTGCATTGCCTTGACAATATTCGAATTCAGCACTCTCTTGCCAGTTAACCTTCAACTGTTTCCATCGTGGGTTCTGCGGAATAGGGGAGAGAAAGAGTGTTTTTGCCCACCCAGAATAGCAGCTTAATAAAGGACCAGTTCCGCTGCAATAAGTATCGCTCACAAGTGCGAGACACTTACGAGCGAAGAAAAGGCAATATACGTACGGGACAATGAAGCTTGTATCAACCGTTGCAAAACATATCGCCACTGCCGTGTCCCTTTAGAGGGCTCGTACACACCCCTGCCCTTAGGCTAGAGTCTAGTTCCGAGAAGTAAGAATGGCAATTACTAATGGCTAGAATATACATTATCCTGACGTAGTCTAGAGACTTAGACCGACATACCGTACCTCTTCCACTCGCAGGCAGAGCCAGGTAATAAGACGAGGGCACGTGATGAATGGCTTCTACTTTCTTAATGTTGGGGGCGGTTGTACCACACCGTAATGGATGGTATTGTAATACCTCCGGATTCATTACACAACCCATCGCCTTCAATCCTTTTTTGCATCATTCCAAGAGAAATCCCCCTGAGAATGAAGAAATTTATGCTGGAAGTGGCATTTCTCAATGAAGAGGTTCTCCCGATGTCATTTCGAGTAAAACTGAATCATCAAGCAGCACTCAAATGAGCAAAGGATCTATGATCAAACATGAGCATCACCTCCGGACATAGGGGCGACGAAATAGATTAACTTTATTCAGAATGATTGCACGAAATTTATAGCTTGATGGAGAGCAGAAATTACAAGGGAAAGGGAAAAATTTACTTTGATTTGGCATAGGACTACTTACATTGGGCAGAAACGTGAGAATCGATTCTATAACTGGGTTTGCTAAACGCCAAGGAAACTAATGATCTCAAAAAAAAAGTCCTCATAATTATCGTTCATATTTCTAGGGTGAAGGCCTTTTTCTTAACCGAAGGGATTGCCAAGAATGCAAACATGCACGGTTAATGAGTGTTGACGTTGGAAAAAAAAAGGCCGCTTTTGCACAAAGGTTGGTAATTGCAGAGAAGGGAATGTGGGTTTTCTCTTTTTGTCTTTTTGCTTCTGTTCATGAGCGTATCCATCTCAATCTATCCTATGATGGGACGCGTCTCTTCTCCTATATCGATCTGTGGTGGCTCTCTTCCATTATACTCCCCCTCTCCTTCTCCCACTCCCCCCTCGAGTTCATTTAAGGTCGCAGCTCATTTATGGAGGATTTCCACTTAATCCTCGATTACAATTTTGTGGGATCACCTGTAGGAATCTCGATGCATTTTTCCTGATAGAATTCTGTACGTAAATTTTTGTGGGTTTTTTGGATTTCCGACATGAACGTAAAAGTAATCGATAGGTAATTATTTTTGCTGCGTAGTGAGGAAAGATTATTGCTTCGATTTCTGCCGTCGAGGATGAGACATGGCCACACACTGAGGGATATTTTCTCGATCAACTGAGTAATGCATGACGGGGGAGCTCCGGAAGATGAATTTCCCTCCTTCTGGGAAGATGTCTGCAGGGTTAAATGAAAGGGTATATGTGGATAAATGAAGCAGGAGGCTATTCACAGACAAAGTGAGACTCTGACAGCCATAAGACTGGATCAAGGAAGTTCCCTTGACAAGTGTGATTAGTCTGATTACTTGCTGCAATCAATCCTTTCTCCTTCTCGCACTCACTCCAGTGATCCCACAGGACTTGAAATTACGAATCCATTGCGATATCGGGCGCAAATGAGTTCGAGAACCCTGAAAGGAAGAGGGGAGAAGAGAGACTACCGAGTCCAAAACCACTCAATGGCAGCGGGGTGCCGAATGAAGGTGACACATTCATAACCGCGGTGTCATTCAACACTGTCCGAATCGATGTTTCTTTCACTCGATCAGGACCTTTCCCCTTTCCCTCCATACGCTCAAACATTCGTACATTCTCGTTACTTCTTCACCCTCTAAGAGAAGAAAGGCAAGAAAAGCTAGAAAAACCTCTTTAAATTGCAGGTTCTTTTAGTTCGTAAAATTAGACGAAATTAGTTTCCCTTGGGGGATTCAGAGGTCCAGACCCTTTGACTACTCAGCCCTTTTAAAAGTCAAAGATGAAACAGGGTCTTATTGACCCGATGAAACTGCAAACGTTAGAAAACACGCGATAAGTGAGATCATGAGTATAGCTGAAATATATATATATATTTTTTTTTTGGGGGGGGGGGGGATATGTACTTCTCGTCTATCATGGTCATCCGTTTCCCTGATACTAACCCCTCTTTCTTAATGTGTATCTACGCAGGGAACGCAACCGTGGTTCTCTTCCACGTCACCGTCATGAGCCTGGACTCCATCGACGAGAGTTCCATGGTAAGTATTTTATCCTCTGGAGTGCCAAAGATGAATGGGAGGGGAGAAGAGGGAAAAGCAAGCTCAAAGCCACTCGATACAAAGCAGCCTAAGAAACGCGTGAGGTCGAACCTCCAAAATGCATGTTTACGAGACTTCCGAGAAGTTGTAAACATACTGACCCCAGAGAAGTTGCTCTTAGACTTCGTTTTTGCGGTGACACGAGGTTACAAATTCATCAACATCATAATCGATGCGAAATGGGTTAAAAAATGTTATCCTCTCTCCTATGTCTTCCAGTGCTGCTAAGCCCAGCTGAGCCCTCAAAAAATACAGAATAACAACGTGAGCGTTAATGTCTAGTTCTGAATTAAACAAAATGACCACAGCCGCTTCATGACTTCAAGTAATTTTTTCAAATACCCACCACCACACCAACCACTCATGATGCTTGTAATTTTAGCAATGCAGAAACGTATGCCAGGGTAGTTGGATGAGGAAAAGTGTGACTAACTATTCACTCACAGGAGAGAGAGACATGAAACTGTTCATGTTTGAAGGCAATCATCTCATGCATGGTTCACTTTTGTGCATTGGGAAATTTGTTATATATGTATTTCATACATATACATCACATACATATATATTTTACGGTAGACATGTTGATGAATGTTCAAATTCAAATGTTCAAATGTTCAAATTCAAATGTTCAAATTGCCATCGCATCATGAAAATGATGGGCGATTAGGTCCAAATGACTTCGACTATTAGTTTCTTCAGCTTTTCCTTGAGTAACTTAATCATAATTACATGCTATAGATGACATGCATAGTATGTGATTAATAGGCTGGTGATACTGAGAGGAAAAGCGTCAAACGTTCTAATATAAAGGGAACTATTTTGATTAAACTATTCACCATGAAAAACATCTAGAATTTAATCAGGAATTCCTAATAGTGTTAAGAAGAATCAATTAAGGCTTAAAGGTCATACCACAAAGCCATAAAGGGTAACCTTGCTCGACGCAAAGGGGAAGGGGAATGAGAGTGGCTTCGTGGATAATTCCAGCTTTCTTTTCTTCTTTCCTCAAGCCACTTCGCTCTCATGCAATGGTTGAGGGCGTGACTGGGAAGTAACATTGAGATAACGTCTCCAAAAGCGATTACGTCAACTTGTTAGAGCACATAATACACATCGGTAATTGAGATACAGTAGTTAGCATGTACGCATTAGACGGATGCATACAAAGCAATTAATTGACTTGGATGGAATGCACGAAGAGGCTGAGGGTGGTCAATTGGGATGCTAAATATGCCCATCCATGCGCATCCCAATTAACAGACATTAGTCAAACGCTTCAACGAGTTAATGGGGGAAAAAATACCTTCGGGCTGTTGTCTTGGCAAGGTGTTGCAGTTACACACTCAACAAAGACACAATAGCGAAGTGGCTTGAGGGTAGAAGATGAGGAAATTGATGAAGATTGAGGAATTGCACGTTTCCGTGATGCCACCCCTCCTCCAGTCCTTGGACATTCGGCAAATCTCTTTGGTACGACACTCATCCTATGACCTTGATACTTGATTCTTCTGCACACCATTGAGTTCCTTTTCCACATTTCATTCTTGAGCGTGTTTCCTTAGGTATGAGTAAGACCTCACCACGTATCTTCAAATTCGAGCGTTTGGCGAGTTTTCTCCTCAAAGCTCTTGAAACTCAAACCGATTTCATGACACACTGCTAACGTTCGTGTATCAAATTTCATAAACATCGCTCAGCTCTTTATTAGCGTTGCAATTCCAAAGACCAATATTGTCCTTTCTCTCTCCGAACAGGTAAATGTAATTGGAAGCTGTAATTGGAGCTGGGTGTGTTTTCGCATTTTGAATCTTTTCACGCCCCCTCGCACTCCATCCGAGCAGATTCGTTCAATTCGTTTTCATCTTTGGGGCTCATAGTGCCAGTGGATAAAATAAAACTTTGAGAATATCGTAGGCATCTATTTCATTAGTTGAGAAAAACGGGGGGAGGGGCAGGTATTCTTCTGAGGGTAGGGACTGGACTGTCTCGTCTCACATGAAATCTTGATGTATCGTAGAAGAAGCCTACAATTCTACAGTACAGGTCATAGTAAAACAACGAAAGCTCTCGAATGGAGAAGTAAACAGGTTCACGAGCTCCAAAGACTTTTTTGATGTCAGCAAGCAATTTCAGCAAAATTCAATCTCGTGCTTGAAATCCCCAAGGTGCTTTCCCTTTCGAGAAGGCTGGTCTATCAGCACCTTTTCCTTCGAAATTGGTTCTGTCATCTTAGCTATAGAACAGCCTCGACGTTTTCATACATTCGCCAATATGTTATAGTAATCTCTTTCTCTGAACAGGAGGCAATCACATGGCCTTAAATAAATCCCTGATGGAGCGCACCTCAAGATTCATTTAATAGTCCCTGGAACATGTGAATTCGTATATTTTTTCCTCTTATGTCTTGGTACATCCGTTTATTTCCTTCCGATTTCACGAAATAAGCAAGAAGCCATTTAAGTGTGAAGTTGCACCCCTTCCAACAAAAAAAAAAAACACATTTTTTTTGTCTTTTGACAAACCGTAGCTTTCATTGAGAACTCTAACGTTCTTTCAGCACTTGTCTTGTCCAAAGTACTCCGAAAACGCCCAGCCGTTCAGTTTAAAAAATAAACTGCGTGAATACAAGGCAAGTGAATTAGTGTATATCCCGTCAAAATCAATGGAGTATATTTTCTGTAGAATTTCCTCTAAATTTTTCCTGGAGAGTGCTACTTACGAGGACGCGTACTTTCACCGTTCGTTCACCCATAGACGCCCAAGAACGGCACACCCTTGACGCGTCAAGACATCCGCCACCAATTCGTATTCGACTAGTACTCCTCTAAAGGTGCTTTTCAGTACTGCCAGGAATAGTGCCGAAGTTCTGACTCGCGAAAGGAACACTGGAAGAAAGTTAAAGAGAGTAAAGTCCACGCGTGAAAATCCGTCCGGTAGTTTTGCTTTAGAGCAGTCTGTATTTCTAAGTTTTTTGTATTACTTTTTCAATCTTGGAAACCTGAACTAGGTATGGGGCGTACTGTGCTGCTATTCTTACAATCAATCGATTTATGGATGAAAAACCCTCGCAAAACCTAAAAGCAGGGCATAACCAATTCAAAGAAGTCCTGAACTTCCATAATGACAACCAAAGTTGGGAATCTTTCGCACGGTTGTTTCACGATCAAGAAGCAAAGTTCTTCCAAGGCTTCTGTCAATCACGATACGTCAGATAGGAAAGGAATAAGGGAGAAAGAGTTCCTACCCATGGGACGCCATAGAGGCTCTTTTCTCTCATCAATGCAGATTTTAAGTTTTGGCTCATTAGCATCCGCATAGTTCTTTTCAGGAAGGAAAATCAGATTAGAGGCGAAATGCGGGCCTATTTCATCTTCCCGTGTCTCTTGCGTGCCACCACTCAAAAACTTTCCCCTTTTCCATCCATTCCATCCATTTTTGTTGCAGCCTTATGTACTTTCAACATGCAAAGAAGCACTTGGCAGCACTCCCATTTCTAATGCCCATGAAAGGAGCCGGGACCGTCCGTTCATTTTTCCTTTCCTCAATATTGATATATATTCCCAGTCTTAATTTTTTTTTACCCTTTCAGACATATGCAGCAGACGTGTTTTTTTCCCAAACGTGGGGAGACTATCGGCTACGATTACCAGATAACATGACCAGCACTTACCGGCTTCTCCCCGTCGCTTGGCTCAAGGACATTTGGAGACCGGACTCCTTCTTCAAGAACGCCAAGCAGGTCACCTTCCAGGAAATGACCATCCCCAATCATTACATCTGGCTCTACGGGGACAAGAGTATACTTTACATGGTCAAGTACGTACTTGTATCCCATTTTCCCGGGTGTGGGGTGTGGGAAGAAAAGGGATGCAGGTGGACCTGACGGTTTCTTTCCATTTAGGTCTGCGACTGTTCCTTCCAAATTGAATTTAAACCGCTTCTAAATAGAGTTTCCTTCCTCTTTGGAAGACAAAGGGGAATTTTCTGAAGTCTTAACACGCACACTGGAACTCCTCTCTTCCAAGCTATTGACAACATTCGAAATACAGGATGCTTAGAAAGTTACCAGTCATTGAATTTTCTTCCAACGTATCCACAGAACTAAAATACAGTTTGAGCACATGGCGCATTGCCTAACAGGTATTCAAATTCTCATTCGAATTCTCATTCGAATTCAAAATGTCATCGATTGCTCTTTCCAATGCTGAAAAACTCAAATCCGTGTTCCAATGCTGTGAGTAAGAAGGAATAAAATAGCTTGCGAAAAATATATACATATCAGGGCTGTCAATTAGATTAATTTAATTGATCGATTTATTGAATAAAAGTACATTATATGATAAAATTATAAGGGGAAAACTAGGCATACAGGGGGAGATTAGAAGGTCGATTAAAATTCAATTACTTTCAACTAAATTTTTAAATCGCTATTATTACTTTAATAGATTAATCGGTTTATTAAATTAATCTAATTGACAGCCCTAATAAATAAGAGCGGAAAATGATAAATAGGGTTGATGGTGGAAATGTTCATCGAGGGGAAGAAGGGAAGAGACAAATACTGGATATAACGCCTATAAGGCCTAATTGCTTTGTATAAGGGATGAGGGTCATCTCTGAGATGAGGATAGCAGATGACCTCCATCGAGGGATCGCCAGTTCAGACATGGGCCATGCATTTCCCCTTTTCTTCATTTCCGTCCGCTGTGGTACTTCCACTAGTGTCATGCGAAAATTGATGGCAGTCTTCACGAGAGAACCGGAGTTAATCGAGCGGGAATCGAACCTTTCCTGTGAGGAGAGCCGATTGATGATCGCCTGGTATCTAGATTCCAACCTGAGGGAAAATGTTCAAGTAACTGATTTCCGTCTTCTCTCATCTCTCATCTTTCATCACCGTCTTAAATCTTTCATGCATGGCGTCCACTATAGTGGACGGCAAAATTTTTGGCGATGATGGTTTTTTAGCCATGGTACACATACCTCGAAACTTTCAATTCAAGGGCATATAATCTCTTCAGTGTTGCTTTCTAGCGGTGAAACATGCGACTACTACGATACGACAGAGTACCTCCTTAAACGTTAAACCAAAAAAGGCATATTTTTATTTTGCTCGGAAAATTCATACGGTTGAAAGGGTTAATTAATATTTATAGGCTGTTGTTGCTTTTTTGCCTGGCAAGAAAAGACTATTTTTTTCCTTCATTCTCTTCCGCCTTCATTTCTCATGAAAAGCATAGGTTATGGGGAAATAAAAAAAGTAAGCCCTTATTATTGCGTGGATCGATCTGATGCCGGAGGAGAAAAAAGTGCAAGCATAGCAAGGAAGCGTTTACTTTCTCATTAACCGTGCAAAAGGAAAATATTCTTCCAAGCATTTTTTCAGTTGAGGGGACATTCTAAAAAGAGAAAAAAGAAACTGATGAAGAACTCGTAAACGTTAGGGCTGTACCGGTGGCCACATTTGGCCGGTGGGTCGATGGCAGATTTTTTTCCTCATAACCATCGGCCGGTGCCAATTAGGGCCTGTAGAAGAAATCGCCTATAAAATAAAATAGGTCTTATTGGACGCCGTGTGATACTTATCAGAAGGCCTCTTTGAAACGATAGAGACCACTTTTGGTCCTGTCCAGCCTGCCTGTCTCTCGATGAGGCTGTCAGTGGTTAGCTTGCTTCCAGTTGCATTTGAGAGCATTTAGTGACATCCCTTGCAAAAGCATAACGTGAATGAAGATGCAATGATTTCCCGTTCTTTACCGCTACTTTCCTCCGCCGGTTCCTTTCATACAGCTGTAACATAATCCGATCGATGTTTTTATCTGGGAGAGAGTGGCTTTCAGTGAGACAGGTGGGCCGGCGCCTAGCCGTGTTCACACCCTCACGGAAATTTTTTTTCGCTTTGCCCGTCCTTTGGGCTCCGGCACCGGCACCGTTGCCATAGGCCGATGGCCAATGGTGCCGATAGTGCAACACTGGCGGCCGATACCAGTGTTAGCTGATGCATCGGTACAGCCTTATTAAACATCGAGTCTAGTCCTGTATTCGCACAATCGCCAAACGATTTCCCGCGGATAAGGAGAGATCGACATTGAAAACTTAAAGATATCTGTTGGCGCTGCTCCTAATTTCCGTGGAATACCCTTATGTTTCCTCCAAGAATTGCATTAGTAATATGATTCAACTGAGGATACATCAACTTATTTTCTAGGATGTAGGCATGGGAGATTCGTAAATTTACTGTCAACTTGGTGGCCTAATCTTGTCAACTGGAAAAAGAGAAGAATCCCTCAACTGAAGGTAACTGATAGGAAGTATCATTTCAACGTGTCAAATAGCTTTCGGCAGGATATGACAAACGTTGAGACTGATAGAGATCTTTCTCTTGCATCATTCCACCAAGAAGAATACGCATTTCATTTTGATCGGATGAGTGCCAAGTCATCTTTCATTCTGAATTCCATCCGCTCGAACTACTTTTAAACCTTCAAATACAATGGAAATATTTTTTCCAATTTGAAGGCTGACCCTGGTGTTGTCCTGTGCAATGAACTTCAAGAGCTATCCTCACGACGTCCAGACCTGTGCCATCAAGATCGAAAGCAGTGAGTGCTCACATTAATTTACCTCATTCTTTCTTCCTTTCAAATCTAAAAAGGAAACCTCAAACATTGAGTCAATAGAATGTGTCGGGAGTGCAGTCATGGTGATAAATGACTCTGGAATATTAATGGAAAATTGTCTGATTCTGGTCTTTAGCAAGAGCATCATGGCGTCTGAAAGCGTTATTTCCGTGAATAAACAGGGATTGTCTCCTGAATATTCATAATAAATCATGCGTAAATCTCAGCGAAGCAACGGTTGATGGGTGAAGAAAAGTGGAACGAGAAGGATACCCTGTCATGGAATGCTTCTTCCATCCCATCCTTAGAAGGGTGTACATCAGCATAAGGCTTCAGGCCTCGCTGGATGAAGAATGGCATCGACAAGAGAGTAATCGACGGGAGATGAAAGGGGATCTGTCACGAGATGAGAGACTCAAGCTTCCTTCCCGCAATCGATTTCGAGGCTTCACGCGAGCTCATGCTACGGGACAGCCACAGCGCGAGAAAAATCGAAGTCCCTACATAACGGTCAAGCAAATCTGCTACGACGAGAGGAAAACAAACATGAAAAGATACAAAGAGAAGGAATGGCTAGAGTTTCATGTTCATTTGGTCTTGTCCCGCAAATGATTGATTCTATATTCTCCAAAGAAGTTCGTAACTAGATCAAGAAGTTCCCATTGGTAACTCTTCTTCAGAATTATGCATACTCCGATTCCATCTCCATTGAGATGGAACTATCTTCCACGAGATGGAGATGACGTGCGAAAATTTTCATTATCCTATCCAGATTGCCTCGGCAATATTGCCCTCATCCACAGGCTTATGAATAAATAATATACCGACCTACAGAAGTCCTCCAGTAAGTTTTCAATCTAGATTTTCTCAACACCCGGAGAACCAATATCCATTATATTTTTATTATGTTATGTATATATGATATTGTTATACCTTATGGCAGCTTATCTTCCTACCTGTGCACAATTGCATAAATAACTGGTCGTCGGGGAAAGAAATACTATGGTATATGAAGAAGTGTTTTGAGAAGTTGAAGTCCCAATGGCGTTTCTTGGGGATCCCTTTTGGGACTTATTTTTCGTCGTCAAATTAACACATTAAAAATGAAAGTGCTGAGACGAGGAGGAAAAACCAATAACAATAATTTGGGGGTGATGCAAAATTGAGATTTTCCTGTTAAAGGTGCAGAGAATCTGGCCAAAGCATTGAAAGACCTGGACTATTGGGAGAGAAGGATAAAAACAATTAATGAATTTTAATGATGTAAGTGAAAAAGTTTCTCCCACCAGCCTCTAAGCCTCTGAATGCATTTGGCGAGAATAGACTTTGAGAGGTAAACGAGGGATTTAGGAATTATCTATTACTTAGACTGCTTTCACACGAGAGATGCATCGGAGCTGTATTAGTTGAAAAGAAGGTTAATGGATGGAGACCTCATTGGGGCACTTAAAGTTATTAAGGATCGGGCTAACGTGGTGCGCGATAGATTTTCCCTACTTGATGAGTAGGCATACTCAATCATGTAGCAAGATGGTGAAATACGTTGGGCATACGATGAGATAGTTGCCCCGGCCGTGGACATCTTTAAAGAAGAGCTTAGATCCCTTCACGGGCGAAACAAAAAAGGGAGCAATTTGGCAATGTATTACTTGGCAGTTTATTGACAGGCTCTCGCCGAAACGATATACCATTAGCCGGGAAGACTTCGCTTATATCATGGCCCAGATCCTCCACGATCTTCAAGCCCGAATGCAGAAACCTCATTTAGACGAGATGAGGGGACGTTAAGCTAAAAAGCTCATTTTCCCCCATAAAAGTCCAGGATTCTTTAAGGAGCGTCAACCAGAGGAGGTTTCCGCATTCGGGCCTTAGATGCTACCTACTCCATCTCTTTTGTGTTGCTACTTCAACCATCTGAGGGAGAAAGATGGATAGGAGGTCGCGTGAAAGCAGGAATTCCCAGCATGCAAATGGAACCGATAAGAGAGGATCCAGATGACTATACAGTCGACGTAACGATCGTTGGCTTACCACCCATCGTCTCCACCGTGATCTTTGAACCATAATAATGAATCCCAACGATCGTTAACCTTATCACCACATAATAATAATGGGAAGATGGCATTAAGCGAGGGGTCAGAACGAGTGCACGTCCTCGTCTCGGAGAGTCATACAATAAGAAACTCAACACCCGTAACCAAACCTTGCAAATTAACCCTCTTACTGCCAGGCCTAGAGCTGCATACCATGTTAGATTTATTTGAATAATTGCTAAAACTATAGCGTTAACAATTAGTTTATAGACCAATTTAAAAACATTTGCATTCTCATCAAAATCACTCTCACAAAGTACTCATGCACCCAGCAAAAGAAAACAAGCCTCGTCTGATCGGCTGAATCGGATCATGGCAGTATTACCAGGACATGCCACATCGGCTCAATCGGCTCAATGGCAGTCCAAAAGGTTAACAGCTCATCGGCATGAAAGGTGTCATCTTCGAAGTTTTTCTCACAATCCCATCAGGCTCATTTTTTGCCTGCAAAAGCTTGAAAAAAAACCTCCGGTTCCAATGATAACCCAGAAAAAAATGAAAGCACGAACCCATCCACCAGCTCATGTGCCCCTGACTGTTGGTGGTAAAATGGGCAGTTAAGTGTTTAATATGAGAGAGCAGTAAGAACGGTAGTTTGTAACGCAAAGGAATTCCTGAAGATCCGATCAAACAGTCCAACAGAAAACTATGCATTGGGTTCAGCATTGTTATAGAAACCATGTGATGTAGGCCTCGCATGTTTCCTAAGTCTCATATATGCCTGTCGACGTGTTTATTAAACTTTGTTGGCAGCTTGAAATGAATCACCGGAAAATTGACAAAAGATCATGCAGCATCCCTTATAGACGATGAAAGAACGTCCTAGATAACAATATGTCGCAAATATGATACAAGTGGAAGACTTTGTCATCTTGCATGCTGATGCTTTCGTGCTCCTAGATGTGTTTTACATCTAGGAGCACGAAAACATTTCTCAGGCAAAAGACCATTAATAGAGATATATTGCCTACTAAACAGATTTTTCTTTTGTCTCTCTCAACATGAATAATGAGAGGGAATGAACAACAGCCCGTATTGTCCTACTCCCAGTTATTATATCTATTGTTCAAGAAACACTAATTCTCGTGTCCTTTTCTACAGCCCTATAGGGATTTCATGATTCCAAGTTGTAAAACCGAACTTCCCGTGTTCTTAAATAATTACGAGGCGAATTTCGAAGAAACTAACCACATTTCATGCCGTCGGGAGTAGCTCTGCGCGGATAGGAGAGAAAGCTGACGCATTTTTCGACTTGGTATGCTGGTCAGGAAGAAAATCTGTCAAAACTTGCATGGCCTGTCGCGCCAGATTGGACAAGAATTCATTCCACATTTGGCCCATTTACTACATGAATGATTCCGCCTCGTTTAAGGCACTCAGAAACTGCGCATTTTCGAGTTGAGGCACGTGAGTGCGACAAATGTCTCTTTGATGCGAAAGGCAATGAGTGGGGGCGGGAGAGCACGAAGGCAGCACAAAAGAGCTTGAGGAATAACGGAGCACTTAGAACAAGGAAATGAGAGAAAAAAGGATATACAACACGGGATGATTACTCAAGGATTCCCTTCAGATTTTCAACCTACCGCTTACTTAATTCACTTGGGAGACTTCAAAAATTGTAAAGAACAAAGGCCCGAATGCTGAAATCTCATTTCGGCGAAATAAAGGGACCTTTAAGCTGAACAACTCTTAATCTCCATAGGAGTTAATGATTGCTGTGAACTGGAAGGTTTCAGTAATCGGGCCAAAGCCTTTACTGAATTTCGGAAGTCAGACTGAAGTGGAACTTCATTAAGAGCATCTCCCAGTTATTATTCTTAGCAAGTTCTGCGGAGAACGATTAGCCATATGGCTGGCTGGGTGCCCACCATGAAGCCAACGCTCCAACGCAGCTGATTATTGATTATCCACGAGAGATGGAAGAGGGAAAAATTGCTGCTTCCTTCTTTCTACGTTGTATAATTGGATGATATTTTCTCACTAGTCTCGTACACGACGGACGACCTGGTGTTTCAATGGGACCCGGCGGTGCCGTTGGTAGTGGACACTACCATTCAATTGCCGCAGCTGGAGTTGATCAAAACGGAGATAGGGGATTGCACCACGGAATATTCCACGGGTAAGGCAACAATATTATGTATCTCGGGTTAATCCGATTAAAGCTCTTTATATCCCACCGCGAGAGCTTCTACCTCGAGGGCTTTCTTTCTTGCGTTCTTCGCTATTGGAAGACGGTCTGAGTAGTGTGTAAGAGGATTTCTCACTTTTTGCCTAACAACGTAGTATTGCTATCTATTCGATTAGCGATTTCTCATTCGGCCTCCGTCGGTACAAATGGTATTTAAGGGCATCTCGTTTTCTCGGAGCCAGAACTACTAGTCGTCATGGACGAAGGACACGACTAGAGGCATTCGCAACCGCAAAAAAATCCTGCGAAGAGAAAATGGACTTGTAGGAATGGGCGCGAGTTCAGCTTTCCTCAGCTGAGGCGTATCGTGTGTCTTTTCCTTTATTCTTATTTTAGCTACTCCTATTCCTTCTTGGGACAATTATGAGGGGTGCAGCCACTCCCGTCTCTTTCTGACCGGCTTCCAGTAATGACGCCTTTGTCCAGATTCCGTTTCCTTTCTTTTCTTCTCGCGTCTTTCATTCACTGGAGCCGAAAGGACAAGATATAATGTAACGTTGCTAGCCATCTACGATTAACAGTCTAAGCACGAATTCGAGACAACTGCTCTCCGTTATGCAGGTTGTAGATCATCCCGAGGTCCATTAAATGAATTGAAACTATTCTTAGGGAATTCAAAACTTGACTGAAACATCGGCAGACTTCACGACCAAAAAGTCAGATAAAGATACTCAGGAAGGGAGGGAAGCAGAGATTTCTATTCACAAATACTAAGTGATTAATGGAATTTTAAATTCCTTTCTTCTTGACATGACAAAAGAAACAAAGAGGTTCTGGCCTCACTATTCTTGTGTGTTTTGCATTTTGTATTCCCATTGGGAATCTGTAGACTTCGATCCGTTCTTGGAAATGCATTGCTTACTTCCGCTTCAACGCCTTCTTTCGCTGTTTCAGAGCTACAGAAGTCTTTCCCTTTCCTGAGAATAGTAAAGTCAAGGGATTTACGGCATTCGCTCAGCACGTCCCTCTGAGAAGGCAGGAGATTGAGTGAGATGAAGAGAGAAAGGAGAAAGCCATTCGTCTTTCTTGCGTGTTTGGGGTGGTCCGGGTCACTGACGCCTACAACAAAAGATAATTAGGATGGATCTGGGACTAATTAATTTGAGAAAGGGATACAAGGGCAGTCCCTGGGGTCCCCACCTTCACGACGCCAGAGTAGGTCAATGAGATCCTCCTCCATATATCCCAGGAACCTTCTGGGAAAAGGAGGGAAAGGAGAGAAAAAGAGGTTCCTATCCTGGGGGAATTCTTAAATTCCCATCTACATGGATTGTGTACCTTCGGCCTCTGTTCTTCCTTGCTTTCGTTTGGGTGGATTAATTGAAGGCATCGACTCTGCCTCCCTTCTAAAGAATTTACAGCTCTCCCATTCCCGCCTCTACACTATTTTCTCGTCTACTCCCCAAGGATCATGACCGAGAGGAATTGACATTGCATTGCTAAACTAAAACCCGCGAGTAATGAGGGTACGGAGAATGAGGTTGATGGGTTCTCAAAGCATGGCAAGGCTGAGAATCAGCTTAACTGGGATCTTTAGAGAGGGGACGAACATAATGAACATTATTCAATGCTGTGGCAGTCACTACTCCTCTATACTTCCTGTTCTTCCTTGCAACCTTAAAGTTTAAAAAAATCTCAACGAACTCGAAAACTGAGAAGAGGGATTCATGCGCTTCTCAAAGCAGCGACATCACGACAAAAGTGCGATGCTTATGGATGAGCTTCAGAATGTGGATGATGTGACGGCCGAATGCTCTGCAAAATCGATCAACTCTATCTTCCCACGCACATCTGTGCACTACCTTGATCATTGCGCTCAACGTTCCGAAGAGTTCCCTTCTGACAGTTTTCTTTCCTTGATGAAGTATTCAAGACTTTGATCCATGGGCCTTTAGAGGCCCATCAGAGGAGATGCAGGTTCTTACTTCGCTCGAATGAAACTAAGGGGAATTCATTACAATACTTCCTTAAAAGAATTTCCTATTTTATCTCTGAAGGGAACTTCACCTGTCTTCAAGTGGTGTTTACCCTCAAGAGGAGACTGGGTTACTACCTATTCCACACTTACGTGCCGACGTGTTTGATCGTGATCATGTCCTGGATCTCGTTCTGGATCAAACCAGAGGCCGTACCTGCCAGGGTTACCCTGGGTGTCACCTCTCTTCTCACCCTTTCCACCCAGCACGCCAACTCGCAGAAATCCCTCCCTCCCGTCTCCTATATCAAGGTATGGATACCATGTTGTCTACTAATTTCTTTTCTATAGATTTTGAATGGGAGGAAAGGAAGAAAAAAAATCCGGTTCATCGACTGGAAAGCCGCCGTATTGGAAGGATGACGTCATGGGATGCCCATGAAAGAAAACTAACGGGTCGCCTTTCAGAATACATAGCACCTTGATATAAATTATGAGAACGTAAAATGAAAAAATATTTAAATCAAATTCATCTTCAATAGAACAGCAAGTAAACATTTACGCCAACTTTGCAACAGTTAGAGCCTGAGCATTCGGCCGATTGGTAACTGTTACACTTTCATCGATCGTGACCAATGACCCATTTTGAGTTCGGTTTTTCTATTATTTTGTCGTTCTACCGTTTATATATTTCACTGAATTGAAAAAAAGGAACAGGAAATAGTTTGAATTCGCGAAGAGACTCTTCCTTTCCCCAGAAGGCAACAATAGCAACAGACGACAGACATACGTAGGCTTCCTTCCGATCCTAAGATGGAAAGAAGGATCTATTCACCTATACAGCGATAAACCTGCCAATAATGTCTTGTGTCTCTTCTCTATTGCACAGTGAAAATAGAATGCTTTCTTTTCATCTCAATGAGCAAAATAAGGTTATGTTCCTATTTTCGGTACTGAAGTCGTTCTGACACGGCATCAAAATATCATAATCACCATACTTTTTTTTCTTGCGTAAGTGGCATATAGTACCATTCAAAATTCTCTTAAAATAAAAAGTCGCAACATGTTTGTCCTACTTCAGGATTTTTCCAAACCTAGATACTTTTCATCGTGATGAATATTTCTAAAAAGGAACACTCCATCGAAATTGAAGTCATTAAGGAGTCTCATTGATAAATAGATGTTACGCGTCGAGTTATGTGCAAAGAGAACCCCAACGACCCATTTCTCTCAGAAGTTGGCATTTCAATTAGCTACAATGAATGCCTGAAATCGAACGTGGAATCATGAAACTACAGGTCCTCCAGTTCGAGAAAACTGGGGGAGTCAAGTTTTGCCATACTTACGACGTCATTTACGAATTTCTTTACGAGACTTTTTCCGACATTAAACAGAAGACTGTGCTGACGGTGCTGCATGATCTAATCTCGAGCAATAATTTTCGCAGTTCCTTTCTTTTTTACGCTCGACCGATGTCCTAATGCGCATATATCGACCCGGTGTCACACCCAGAAAAATCTAGGAGCTCCGAGGGAGACAAAAGATCGATTCCTTGTTGGAGAAGTAAATGGGTACCATCCTTCATGTGTCAACTGTAGCTCGCCTAAGATCTCATCGGATCCTTTGATGAATCGTGGGAAAATTCGTTTGCGGAATCCCCTCCCCTCCAACGACACGGGAATGAGTTGGGGGAGGAGTTGGTTTCTCTTTTTGATTTTGATTTATTTATTTATTTAATATTTTTATTTTTATCATGAAGACCGAAACTCTTCAGTATTTCATCAAGCCGGGTGTCGTCCTTGTTCCCTTCAGCTGTTGGCCTACAACCACTTCCTTGCTCCGCATATTCTGTCTCGTTTCATGGCTTTCTTTTCCTTCTGAATAATGACCGTGACGTCTAAGATTCCATTCATCTTCCTTAGTCCGACACAATTTTTCCTCGCAAGAATTGCCCAGCAAAAAAAAAAGCTTTTTGTCTTTCTCGATGGTTACGTAGGCGATGGACGTATTTATGTCAAGCTGCACGGTGTTCGTGTTCATGTCCCTGATGGAATACGCCTTGGTGAATATTTTGATGGGAGATCTACTGGTGGATGCTGACGAATCCGCGATTGCCAAGGGAGTCCAAACGGTGGTCACCGTCAGCAAAAAACTCTCCGCCAAGACGCTGGGCGCCAATAACTCTCCCGAACCGACTCGGGTAAGCTATTCCGAACTCACCTTCCAGCATTCTGTTCCTTGAGGAGGAAAGGATCTTTCACGGGGAGAGATGAAAAGGGCATGAATCCCCTTCCAGTTTCCGATGAGAAAAGAGGGAACCTCTCTTGTTGACGAAACGTAATCATCCTTCCATTCTAGAAGGAATTCTATAGGAAGGCCTCTGTAGGTTCACAACGTTTCAACTACGCTTCCTTTCCAATCCATAGACAGTTTCGATTTCCTGGCAATATCTCTGACGGACTAATGCCTGAAAATTCTTGATATTTTAGTCTGCGAGGGTCAACCAAAAAAGCTAGCCTTTTAAGATTAGAGGAGAAGCTGCCGGTGCTGACCCTAACAATCGAATAATATCACCATCAATGACAGTCGAACGATGTGCTGTGACCCGTCACTGGGGACCGGTCCATCACAGGGTCTTTCGCCCTACATGATGGATGGATTCATGAACTTTCAAGAAGTTCGGTGTTCCTTTAATTCTAGTGAAACTTGACAAGTAGCAACTGCAGGAATGTTTTTTTAAGAGTACAATTAATTTCATCAACTTGATTTCATAGGGGTACCAAAAAGCTCATTTTTGTTGGACAAAACTTCATTTGGCTATGTTTGTACCAGGAATTTGTATTTATTTCTTCATTCACAACTTATCTCCTTTCATTTTTTTCGCAGATTCGGCCTTTTCTCGAGTTATAGTGAAGCTGGCTAGGAAATTTACACCATAGCCTTAAACGATTCATCAGTCAGTTATCATAATTCAGTCAAAGGTTAATTTTAAGTCTGCAATTAAATAAAAATAATTTTTTAAGAAAGAAAAGTAAATGCCTGACCAAATGCAGTTTGGTCAGACGAGACAGCTATATTTTAAATTAAAAAAAAAGCGAAAACCCAGAGGACTGAGATTACAGTAATTAATTTTTTTTTAATTCGACGGTGGATGTAGCTGCTCGACAAGTTCAAATTGAATTGATTTCCTATTGTAAGAACAGCGAAATTTCTAAAGATATACATGTTACTATCGTACACCCTGTGAACGTAACCTCTCTAAGCTTGCTTTTGAATTATATGAGAAAGAAAAGAAGACATCATGGAGGATTGTTGCTTTTGCACTGTAGTCGTCTGAATTATAGTAAGCCTATTACACGCTTCGTTCGGCAGAATAAAAGAAGCAGAAATCAGCTGAAATTGCTTATTACAATTTCAGCTTATTTCTGAGCTGAAATTCAGCTGATAAAAGAGCCGGCATTCTAAACCCACCACGAATCGGGTTGGTGTTGTAGGAACCAGGGGAGCGCTTGAGACGAACCACCTCAACGCACAGAAATCCGGCGTTCGACTCAACTTTCCCGCCCTGGCGATCCTTGGACACCATGAACTGCGACGGCTTCATGCAACTGCAGAATCGGACTAACGCTCGCAGCGAACCGCACGCGAACGCTCCTCCTCCCCCACCCGTGTCTCCAGTCACCACGCCGGAGGACGAGGGGGAAGAGGGCGACGATTCGCGAACTGGTTCGCAGCGAAGGGACCTTGCCATCACGGTAGACCGCTGTTCCCGTGTTATCTTCCCATCCAGTTTTGCTATCTTTAATATTCTCTATTGGAATTACTATGTGGGCTGGCCCTTTCCTCTTTTGAACCGTGACATAGTGTACTACGACCAGTGAATCTCCCGCTTTCCCCATGATGACATTCTTCACCCCTACGATTATTATTATTTTTTAAAATCTCGATACAGGGTCTGTTTTGAACACATTGCAGTTCAGACCGGCAGAAACTGCGTTTTTTAATTTTTAAATCGATTGACTTGGCTTTCAATCCATCCTTCAGTCGATTTATTTCCGCGTTGTCTTCCCATCGAGAACCTTCTATTTACTTGAGTCAAAATTATTTCAATAAAAATTTGAGCCCTCCTATCCTTGAGGGTAGGAAATCTGCATACGTTTTTGGGACAAAGGAATAATTTTACAACATGAAGCAACGGACAGATTGAGAAATTAATTTATGGCCAAGAAAAACCTTTTCTGCCCGATGAAATCACTGCACGGGCTTCATTTTATCGAGGAAAACGAGCAAACAAGAGACTGGAAATCCGGAGGAGATTACAGGGTGACTAAGAAAAGAGAAAGATCGGTCAGAAGACAGCTCCAAGTCCTATCCGTCCAAAGAGGCGCAAGAAATGAAAGATGGAGTGTTGTCGTGTGACTGATGAAGGTCATTTGAAAGCTGTGAAGAAGAGAGGGGAAGTCATCAATCATGGAAAGACATCGATCCCCTTGAATGCCATGACATCTCCGCCTTTTTCATCCCACCCCATTCAAGAAAAACTCTGGTCTAAACGTAAACTCCCTCTCACGTATACTGACATCACTCGGTTTCTAAGAGAAATGCGACCAGCAGCAGGCATAGTTTGGTTCATATCATGAATCTAAAATTCTTGAATTCTTCTCTTAACATAAACAGGAAGATCGGAAGGAGAGGAACATTCATTCAATGACTTCATTTTCATCACATCTCTTCGCCTGAACAGGGAAAAAATGAGGAACGGGATGAAAAGTACTACGTACAGGAATCCTCCATTTTCTATTATATCCCCAGGGATGTCTTCTTGACAACCGTGATGAGAACTCAATTACATCTGAAGAGAGACAGCAACATAGAAAAACCATTCGCCCTTGACAGCCTCGAGATTCGCAAAAATTCTTTCCCTTCGAAATACGTTCAAAAAAACATTTTTTTAAAGCGCCATTCTCCAAGAGAATTCTCCATAGGATAATGCCATCCAGCTTGAGTAAACAACAGAACCTAGTTAACCATTTCGATCGAGCGTGCTCGTCAGACGAGACGGATTACTGCATTGATTGTCGCATGCATTGCACGTTCGTCAATGCCTCCACACTAAGGTTTACATTGTCAAATGCTAGTAATCTCATTTGCTCCTTGGAAGTGTCAATGATAACAGATTCTCATTTCACGACGCGGCTTCTGCAGTTAGAATATAATCCTAGGGTCTACGTTGAGCGGCTTAAAAGCCGTGGCAGACGGACGTTCTCTTTCAATGTTGAAGAGTTATTCGAAAGAAAACTAATAAAGTATGAAAAGGATTTAAGAACTTATTCTGAAACTATGAAGTTAATCACTTTCTTTATGAGGCGATTCTCAAGCGATCACGTTTATTAGTTTTCACAACTTGTAACAGCATTTGTGGCTACGTAAGGGCACCATTATATATTTGAAGAGTTGCAGCGATATATCATCAGTTTGATGGAGTGGGTTGTTCCTATCCGAGCAGGCATTTATAATTGATGCCCTATCGGATATCAATTATAAATGCTTGCAGAACCAGGCTGCGTAGTACCTCATAAGAAGGCAGAGCTACATTCCTAGAATCCTCTCAGTAACTATTTTCTGCCTATTATTTGCGATTATTTTCGCATCAATCGTTCATAAACATTCATAAAACACAAATACATCACCCCAAATCAATTTCTAATGTTAAAATTCTCATGACAATATTAGTTATAATTATGCAATTAATCGGTTGCCATGGTTACATTTTTGTGGAAAATGTCATGCGCGAAAAGATAAAAATCGCTTTCGGACCCTGTGCCCAATTGTGCCAAGGGTGAGCGAAAGATTAATTCATATACATTTAAGACAATAAGACTCACCAGGAAACTCGCAACAATCGAACTTGGAGAATTTAGAGCCTAGCGGCTCCAAGATGATCTTTCAACAGTTGAGGCGATCTTCATCATGCTACGTTTTCCCATAATGTGCTCCAGGAATCACTGGGGCTTTCTCGATGCATAAGGGACGGCGGAGCAGAATGGGATCCCATTCTGCTCCAGATTTCATCTAAACATGTCTGATATACATCGAATATTTACTGTTTCATGACCCCTCACCAAAGTTTCGAGGTTTCCACCATTTCGGCGCCTCATGAATTTATTTACAAACACTCTAGGAAGTGAAAGAAACAGTCAATTATCTTATTTCATTTCGAGGTTTTGATTGCCGCAGTAAAATAGTATGGGAAAGCTAGAGGCGTCCGATATTTTATCCCTAGAAATGAACATATGAGCTCTTCCATGAAGAGCTCACTTTTATCGCCGTCCTTATCTTTATTGCCGCTTATTTCCTTCACGTTTATTGCCTAGCTCTCTTTTCTCTTTGTCCGAGTCTCAATCAATGACAGTGCTGATGGGATAAAATAGGGTAGTAGGCGACCCAAATCGTTTGGTTGTGCCTATTTCCTTTCTTTATCCTTGGATAATTTATTTTATAATAATATATACTAATATATAATCCTTAATATGTGATTAGTTCATTTTTGTTTATAATGCATTCTAGAATACTGTTCATATTTCTGGCAGATATAAGTGAAAGTTTATCCGCAAATTTCTACGCAATTTGGATGCAACTAGATTTTTCTAGTATTTTTTTTTTATCACTTACTAGCATACTATTGTTTACATCTTTTGATCTCATAGCAGGACCACAATAATATTTGGTGTAAAGTTAGAATACATTTTGAGAATGTTACTTTAATTTCTATGAAAATATAAAAACGACCATTCCCGGGGATCAAACATCAAAGTTCAGGCTTTTTTATCTTAACGTTTTCATTCAAACTTCATGAAAAAACATATGATTGTGAAAGGGCACTAAAATAGTATTAAAAAGATAGAGATATTTATTTATTACTTAGGACAAAACCTATGGGCACTTGAATGAAGACCACCCAACCAGAATTCGGCCCTTTTTGGTAATCTTCAAACCTCTACGTCACAAAGCACTTGACCTAGGAAGTTGAAATTTGGTGTGGATTAATTTCTCAATGGGTACCGCAAGCCCCCCCCCCCCCCCTTATCAGGAAAGATTTAGAGTGTTTCTCTATCTTTTTAATACTATTTTAGTGCCCTTTCACAATCATATGTTTTTTCATGAAGTTTGAATGAAAACGTTAAGATAAAAAAGCCTGAACTTAGAGGGGATTAGTTCAATTTTCTATTTTTGTCGATTTCATATGAATATCGTTTCTTTTCGCTCACTCGATTCAATAATCTGGCGTGGGATTTCCTTGTCAAAATGGTAGATAAGGCACCCAGGTGGTCGGGATGCTGGAGAGAAATCATTTCAAGGAGGATGAATTAGGACGAATAAGGGCTCTGGGCTTTGGGATATAATCCTGTAATGCATTCTTCCAATTATGATTATGTGGATTCTTATAGGAAATCTCCATAACACTCTAAATCTTTCCTGATAAGGGCTGCCTCCTTTAATATTTCGGTGCTTTCAAACAGAAAAATAATTTAAATCCCATTGAAGTCTATTTCTTCTTTGAAGATACTTGTCGTACTCGTGAGTAGTTTTTAGCTGAATGTGCGAGAAATTATTGCGCACTGGAGACATCAGTCGATAGAAAACGGCAACACGCCAGTTTTCATTCTGGAGATTCGTGCCATACGCGCAGCCTGCAACGCAGGCACCTTACACTGACATCGAGGTCAAGCGGGCAAAGACAATGAGCCAGTGAGTATGCGGCAGCCATCATTCCTGTCAGTCCCGATTTCAACCTTAGTAGTAAGAGTATGTACCAATCTTCTAACCTAAATTTTAACCGAGCGGTTCTACACTCCAATAACTTGGTTCAACACACCGATATTTTATCTTTTATAGAATAGGGACTGGAGGCAAGCCCCAATTACAAGCTCATCCTCTCGCTCCCACTTCCAGCTCATACAATCTGCACAGACCCGTCGAAATAGAGTCGAGAGAGCAGCGGAGAGTCTCAACAAAGAGACTTTGGGTCGGAAAGAATTAAGCGGAGTACCTTGTCAAATTAGATTAAATCAATGCCCTCCAAGCCTACCTACTCCAACGCGCTCCGACCTTGTCCTTGGCCAACAAGGCCAAAGCCTTGTTTCTGGGTAATTAGATTTCTCTTCCGTTCCTATCTTGCTCTTACTCTTCCCCAGTCCCACTATTACAAGAAGCAATATGAAGACCGAACAGATGCAGGCTTGCCTTTATTGAGTCCATAAAAAAAAGTCTAAAGGAGATGCTCAAATTTTTGTCCTTCTGCCTTAATGCAACTGCACTCGTGTTTTTACCAAGCATTGTGAACGTTCACATACGTTTAGTATAAATTGAGTCTGGGACCGCTCCACAGGCAGGCATGCGTCACGTTGATCAGGAAGTAAGGAAACATCGAGTATGCTCGCTTTACATTTCTATTATTCAAGCCAATAAAAATGTCCTGCAATCGCGCGTTCGGTTGCGTATTTTTCTGCTGCTCAATGATAATTACTCTGCGGTGCGCGATGCTCCACCCCTATATCGAGCTATAAGCCCTGCAACGTATTCCCCACTCTTGCATAACTCATCGACTTGCGAGCCTCTTAAAAAATGCTTCTGTAGGGAGAGACTCGTGGAGCCACCTATGAGTTCTGCAATTAACGAAGGGATTCGGAAGAGTTCGCGATAGATGTCTCCTTTTAGAATCTACGACGTTTGCGAAACTTAAAATGCGCATCGCAAGTCGATTCAGAGGAATGTCTGCGATTCACCCAAAACCGTTGGACTTGAGTAGCAATTAGACGAGGCATTCATAGGTTAACTGGAGGCAGGAGAGTCGGATCGTGGCTGCTCTTTATAAAAGGCGGTTGGGGACGCAAAAAAGGGCTCAAGCTCATCACAATTGACCATGTCGACAAATTAGGTTAATTCGCAGTATTTGGGGACCCTCTATTAAAAATGTATGGCTATTTGTAACCTAATTTCTATTGGAAAAGTGACTTCCACTTCGCTTCATAACAATAACCCTGCGTCTTGATATTTTCAAACCAACGTTCTAAAATTGGCAAGGCAGTGGTCAGCAGAGCTGGCAGCCTATGACCAGTGGC